TGATACCATGCAAGTGTAAAAGCTTTCCCAAACTTTCCTTCTGGGAGTTTCCTCCTGTACTTAAGTACCTATACTTAATAGACATTTGTTGAATGAACAAATGAAAAGACAAATACCAAAAGGATGTGTGCATTTGTGTTTGAGCATGGAGGTGGACTCCAGGTTTGGTGCCCCTTAGAACTACCGCTCAGGCCAGCAGGTGGTCACTGAGTATCAACTCTGTGGCAGACAGTGGGTTTATAGAGTTAGATTGCCCTTTTTCCTGAGAATGTTTCTTCATTCCTAGTATTCAGACTCCCAGTGCTCTGTGGATAAGTTTGAGGGGGGAATCCATGAATTTTCTGACATCTTGGGTATGCACATATGTACAACCTATTTGTTTGTTAGGGGTTCGGGGGGAGGATTCATACTTGTTAGAAGTGCATGATTCAGTATTTATGTGCATTTTTTAGCAGTAGAGGAGAGATGATCTACAGTTTTTACCAAATAATCAATGGGCTATGACTGAAAGATAGTTAGGAACCCCACCCAGTGTATAGCTTATCCTGCAACTGCAAGGCTATCAGCAAGTACAAACCCATCAGGCCTGGTAGAACAGCAGGTCCTCTAGTAAAGTATCTGCTTTATAGCCTGTACTGGAGGGCCGAATTAGGGGTGTTTACATGAGCATATGCACACACCTGCTCTCCCTAGGAGTCTTTTTAAGAAACTATATACTGAGTGCCAAATATTTACTGATCACCCTGGAATCAGAAAGAAGAATAAGATATCAGTCACTCCTCAGAAAGAAGATGAAATTATTTGAAATGTTCTGATTCCTCTGGCATATTTAAATCATGATTTAAGACTAAAACAGAACAATTTACAGCACTTCATGGTATATCGCCTGGTGAATTGTATGAACACAGTCACAACAGGAGGCATTTGGCAGATCTAGTGATTGCTAGGCCAGGTTGGGGATGGCTCAAGATAAGCAGACCTGGAGCTCTGGCTCGAGACACGGACGGACACTTTTTTGTCCCAATCTCAGCTGAACTGTTAGCAGCATCTTGGAAAACATTTCCTTCTCAAAAACATTTTCTCATTTCCTTTTTTTCCCCTTTGACTGTTAGCAGCATCTTGGAAAACATTTCCTTCTCAAAAACATTTTCTCATTTCCTTTTTTTTCCCTTTGGTTTCTGTGACAGCTCTCTCTTCTGGCTTTCTTCCTTTTGTTGACCTCTCCTCTATCCCATAGTAAATGTCAGTGTTCATTAGGGAATGGTACTGGGCCCCCTTTTTTCTTTCGAAACTCCCTTTCTCAGTGATCTCATCAGTTCCCGAACCAGGATGTCGTTTCAGTGCTGGTCGACACCAAATCTCCATTTCCAGCTCAGACCTCTCTCAAACCCCAGCTTTACGCCACACACACATGTCACTTGACTGTCATACACTTTGCAAACTTGGTACACCCACATCCAACTGTGTGGGACCATCTTTTGCTCAAGCCTGTAACATGGAACCTATCCTTGATTCCTCCACCTTTTCCTCATATCCGATCCATCACTGAGTTCTGTTTCATCTCTAAAATATGCAGGAAATATTTCTCGCTGTCTCCACCACCCCACTTTTGTCTAAGCGACAATATTTCTAATAGCTCCAGCCCCTGGACTCTGCGGTAGTTCCTAGTGGTCTCCCTGCTACCTTTATCGTCCCCTCCAATCAAATCAATCTTCCACCTGGTAGCCAAGGTGATCTTTTTATAAGGGAAATAAGATCATTTTATTTTCACATTCAAAAGCGTTCAAAGGATTCCCGTTGTATGCATCTAAGCTTCTTATCTCGGGGCACAGAGGACTGCATGCTATAGCCCTGCCCACCGCTGCAGCCCCCAGGGGCCACACAGGCTTTCTTTCTGTGCGTCACCCAGGCCCGGCAACCTCCTGCTTCACAGCCTCGTTCATGCTGCTCTTCCCCAACTCTTGGCATGAGTGGCCCCTTCTCAAAGTTCAAGTCTCTTCAACTTAACTGACATATCCTCTATGGACCCACCTCCAGCCATTCTAAATGGGTGTGCACGTACCTCCCTCCCCACCCCGTTACCTTAGTACCCTGTTCATTTCTTCCATGGAATGTAGTGCTTTAAAATTATTAATGTACTTATGGTATGTCTCCCCAGCTACATACACCCCCCACCCCCCTCACCCCTCGTTCAGGTGCTTAGCGACCTGAG